GGTTTGCCAAGAAAGGTTGGAGGTTTTTGGTTTTTTTTTTTTTTTTTTTTTTTTTTTTTTTTTTTTTTTTTTCCTCCCTTTGAGTCAATGACTCCATGGCTGTTTTTTCTTTTTTTATCTTTTTAATGTTTAGATTTTTTTTTTCATTTTAAGGGTATTTTGGGTATTTTCTGAGGTTAAAATTGGTGTGGACTGAGATAAGGTATTGATTTATGTACTTAGTGTAATCAAAAGATATGCTTTTGATAAAATCAAAAACCGAGGGTATGCATTCTAAATAAACCTAAATTACAAGGTATAAAAATGTAAATAATCCTTAGTTTGTTTTGTTCTTCTTTACACCTAGAAGGACCGATGGTTCGGTTTCTCCACCATCACCAACCGAAACTAAACGAACTATGCAAGGGAACTGACCAAAACCGCACGAGCATGGTCGGTTTCAATTCGGTTAAACCGACAGTCTTAAAGAATGAACATTTCATTAGTTTGAAATCAAACGCACCTAGTCACCTTCCATGCCTTAAGAGTATTGATATTATATGCAATTTGATTCTATATTCATCTCATTAAGAATCAAGTTTATGTGTGTGCATCTTACAATTTGTCCCCATTTACTTGTGAGCTTTCAATTTCAATTCTACATATCCTTGTAAAGTTGTGAAACGGGCCATGCCGATCCTTGTAGAGTTGTCAAACGGGTCGTGCCGCCCGCCACGGGCCTAGACCGGGCCAGACACGACCCTGAATAGTTCAGGGGGGCCTGAGGGAAGACCCTCAGACCCGACCCTAGCCCAAGCCCTCGTCCATAAAGGCCAGCGCCAAGGCCTGGGCCTTGTCCATAAAGGCTAAGGCCGGGCCTAGGCCCAGGCCCAGGCACAAGCCGACCCTGGCCCTTTGAATATTTATTACAATATTTAACGAAAAAACATATATCATATGCTATCAAAAAATGTGATTTTATTGAATTGAAATAATACGAATAACTACACATAAATGACTATCTTGTTAAAAACTTTGTCAAGTAAAACTTGTGGGGAGATTAAAACAAAACCTTAACGAAGAAAAAAAGAGTACAGTATACAAGGATAAGTAAATTACACTGTGGCCGAATTGCTTCCAGAAGATAGAGTTGTCAATTGGGCCGGGCCGTCCCAACCCGCTACAGTGCTGGGCCCGATACGACTCGGCCCAGTACTGTTTCAGGCCAGGCCGGCCTAGCACATCACCTAGGCTAAGGCAGGGACGCAACTCCCCAACCCGCGGCCCTGGCACGGCCCAGGCCCGTGCGAGGCACAAACCCAACCCGACATGGCGCGGCCCGCCGCGTGCCCAACGTTCACCTACAGCCTGGCACGCAGCCCAACATGTCACATGCCTAACGATCGAAAACGGTTAATCCGGCCCGGCCCGTGACGTGCCCAACGGTTATAAATCGAAAATCCCCCCTAAAACCCTTATAAATACCCCACCTCGCTCACAAACGGGCCGAATTACTTTCAGAAGATTCTGTTATGTTTAAATTTGAAAAATATCCTTTAAGTGTATCATATGTATAGTGTTGTTTCCGTTTGTGAGGGCGGTGGGGCATTTATAGGGGTTTTAGGGGGGATTTTTGGTTTATAACCGTTGGGCACGTCACGGGCCGGGCCGGACTAGCCGCTTCCAACCATTAGGGCCGTACGTGCCGGGCTATAGGTGAACGTTGGGCACGCGGCGGGCCTGTGCCTCACACGGGCCTAGGCCGCGGGCTAGGGAGTTGCGGTCCAACCCTAGCCCACAACCCTAGCCCACATTATGTGTCAGACCAGGCCGGCCTGTAACAGTACTAAGCCAGGCCATACCATGGCCGGTACTGTAGTGGGCTGGGCCAGGCCGTCCATGGACGGCCCGGGCCCAATTGACAAATTTGTTCTTGTGCCTCGGTATTGTATTGTATATTCTAGTTTGGATTAAAAGTCCTCACATTCTTACAAAAACCTAATTATTGATATCTATTATTATGCAAAAAGTACAAAATTTGTATTAAAAAAATAGAAATAAACTAGAACATAAAAATAAAATCGCCCGCATAGAACCGATCCATTAAGAAGATGAAGTGTCAGGGACATCATCAAGAATGAAAGGACCAAGTTTACCTGTCCTAAACAGTGTTAGAAACTTTTTTGATACCATTAAACGAGCTTCAGATGCTTTATGCGGAATCTTTAGTGCCTTCTGCAGTGCTACAAATTGTTGTTCTATAAGTCCCTCCAAGTCGCTCTCGTCTTCTACGTTGCCATTAAAGTTTGAAAGAGTCAAGTACAATGCATGTTGGACTTCAGCAACAAGATCCTGAAAGAAAATGAGAAACAAGAAACTTGAATGACATTGATAATTGTAATCCAAGATGCCCGCTAGTCAAATTAAAGCGAAAGGTTTCACAAATCCATTAAAAGCAGTGCATGATAACAGCCAGTATAAACACCAGCACGTAGTAACAATGAGAGTTTTTCAATGCAATCAGAAAGCACTCCAAAAAATTTCGACAATATTGAGAGGGGGTGATAGCCAGTTAAGATGTGGAAAAGTCTTCCCGTATTGGCTATCTTACTGTTGTTGCAGTCAATTTACATTGAAAGTTGTTCAAGAAAATAATGCTGTATTGGACACGAAGTTATCTGACCAAAAGTTTGGTTTATCAATCATTCATGATCCTAGTACCAAAACACGTTGTATTGGACATTGAAAGAGGTTCCTTGCTCTAATAAGCAAAACTTTAATGTTAATATAGCCCACAGAGGTAAAAAATTTGCTTGCTCTCTTTCCGATCAAATACCCAGAAGAAACCGGTACAAGATTCCTTCATTTGTTATCTCTGTCGATGCACTCATGTGTTAACGTGATACACTTAGTGCTGAAATTTTAGACGAGCGGTCTATGACCATCGAAAATTCTGAATTTTTACCTGATGACTGAACCCGTCCGAGCGTGAATTTTCGGACTGCCCGACCCGACCTAAGCAATCCTTTGGACGGGCTTTGGGCAAGTTTTGACTGCCAGAGCCCGATCAGACAGCCCGAGACCACCCGAAGTGCCCGACCTAATTTTTTAATATTTTTTATATATTTATATACCATTATATATAATTTTATTTATTAATTGTATATGGCATGGCATGTATATAAATAATTTCTAAATTATTTATTGTAAACATTATACAAAACTTATAAGGAAGATTGCAATTTAAAATGTACACGAACTATATAAATGCTTTTCTTCGGCCACGGCGGGCAGGCCCTTCTCGCCGCCCGAAAATGCTTTTCTTCGGGCACGGGCTCGGGTAGCCTGAAAAGAGTAAGCCCCCCGACAGCACGCCGCCGTAGAGAAGTCGTCCCTCGCCGTTCGCCAGATTTTTTTTGAATTTTTCGGCAATACGCGAAGCTGCCCGAATCTGTGCCCGAATTGCTCGAATTTTTTGTGACCGTTGCCCGAATTTTGGTGACCGTTGCCTGAATTTTGCCCCGTGCCCGAAAAATGCCTGATTTTTTTTTACCGTTAGCCCGAAAAATGCCCGAATTTTGAAAAAAAACGGTCTTTTGCCCAAACCCAAACCCGAACCCGAATTTTGCCTGAATTTTTGAACCTAACGGTCGGATTTTGTGCCGTTGCCCGAACTGCCCAAAAATTTTGTAGCTGTTGGACCCAAATTTTTGGGGGAAAAATTTTTTTTTTCGACCCAAAAATTTTCCTATAAATACCCCCCTCCCCCCAACCATTTTCCTCACCCCAAAACTCTCATTCTCTCTCAATTTCTCTTAATCTCTCTTAATTTCTCTTAATATCTCTCTTAATCTCGCTTAAATCTCTCTTAAGCTCTCTCAAAGCACTCTCAATCTCTCTTATTTTTCATAATGGCTTCTTCTGGTTATGGTGGTGATATTCCCATTGATGTCCAATTCAACATCGAAGAAGGGCAATTTCCTAATGTTTTTCAATCGCAGGAATCGCAAACTATGGAAAGAGTTGCTGATCAAACTGCAAATCCGACCCTTGGTGGACGTACTAGAGGTCGGGGATGCAATGGTGGTGGCACAAGTGGCCGTGGAGGAGAGGCAAGCGGTAGTGCTAATACAAGTGTTGCAAGTTCTAAAAAGAAATGCAAACGCACCTCAGCAGTTTGGGAGCACTTCAACACATTCGAGAACGTCGACAATAACGGTAACATTAAATACGTAACTCAATGTAAATATTGTGGTGAGAATTACAAGGTAACACTATTCACGGCACTACACACTTAAGAAGGCACTCTGAAAAGTGTCTTCAAAAGCAAGGAGGCAGAGATCAGCTCCGCCAAACGCAATTATCGTTTGACCGGCGGTCTAAGCACGTGAAAATACGATCCGCAAGTTGATCGTATGGAAATGGCACGATTAATAACCACATTAGATCAACCACTAAGTTTTTCTAAACAAAAAAATTGGCAACGTTATATTAAAATTGTACATAATCCTAAAGCACAATTTTTTTCTAAAACTACTCTTAGGAAAGATGCATTAAAATTATATAAACAAGAAAATGAAGCATTAATCAACATTCTACACTCTACTAGTGGTTGCGTTGCGTTAACGGCGGATATTTGGTCCGCCGTTTCCAACAAGAATTATTTAGCTGTAATCGGACATTATTATAAAGATTTTGATTTTGATAAGAGAATCTTAGGTTTCAAATGTGTTATAGGATCGCATACTGTCAATTTAATATATAACACAATTTTATCTGTTATTGATGAATATAGTTTAAGAGATAGAATAATAACCATAACATTAGATAATGCAACTGTGAATACTAAAACAATAGAACTTTTTGAAAATGATTTAAGTTTATTCAGTAATAATGATATTTTCCACCAACGTTGTACATGTCATATAATTAATTTAATAGTAAAGTCCGATTTAAAATCAATGTCAAGTCATATTAAAAGAATTAGAAATAACATTACTTGGATTTAAGGTAGTAATCAAAGAATACAAGATTGGTTTATATTTCTACAAACATGTAATCAAAATCCTATAGCATTAACCTTAGATATGCCCATAAGATGGAACTCCACTTACATAATGTTTGAACAATGCATCCTCTATAAAGATGCTATAACACATTATGTTAGTGCAAAATTAAGAACAAGATTTATAGATGAAACTGATTGACAAATTGTCGAACTTTCGTATAACTTTTTAAGTAGATTTCATGAAGTTACCTTAAAGTTTAGTGAAACTTATTACCCAACTTCACCATTAGCATTAAGAGAACTTTTAAGAATGTCTATTTTATTTAGTGAATGTAGGACACATGAGGTTTTAGGAGCTCCTATCGCCTCTATGGAAAAGAAATTTAAAAAATATTGGTTTAAATTACCCATGTTATATGATTTCGTTGTTATTTTTGACCCTAGATTAAAATTAGAAGGTTTAGAAAGTGGATTAGATAACTTAAGTGAATTTTTAGCTATAGACACTAATAACTAGTTTCCTATTATAAAGGAAAAAATATATTATCTATATATCTCTTACGAAAGTAGATTTAGAAACACACCTCGTGTTGAACAACCGCAACAACGAGACGACAATCCGCAGTCATTCTTGAATGTTTTCGGGTTGTCTAAGAAGAAGAAGAAGACGACGACGACAACGAGGAGTCAATGTCAAGAAGAATCTGGGAGTGGAAGTGGATCTTCATCAAGAGGTGGCGGCGGATTCAACGAGTTAATAGCGTACTTGAGTGAGGGCTTAGTTGTAGACAGTAGTGAGGTGTTTGATTTGGTTGAGTGGTGTAGGGCACGAGCATTAATTTGGTCGATCCTAACACGACTGGCAATGGATATTTTTTCAATCCCGGTCTCCACTGTTGCAGCCGAACAAACATTCAGTACAACCGGCCGAATACTTAAAGAACGGAGAACGCATTGCAGCAGAATATTATTGAAGCTTTGGTGTGCATCAAGGATTGGAACCGTTCCGACCAACGCTTACACGATACAATCTCACCGGCAAACCAAGAATGGATCGACAAATTTAATAGATTAACTTTTAATTTTCAAGATGATCCTTCTGCTTCATCTTGATAATTTCTTTGTAAATATTTATTTATTTTGTAATTTCTAATTTGTATAGTGCTTATTGTAAATTTGTAATCTTGTATAGACTTTATAAGTTCATCAAATTTGTAATTCGTCCCACAATGATTGCACTCTTTTTTTTCTTCCCAAGTTTTTATCCCAATTGAATTTTTTCTTGGTAAAATTTTTAATGAGGTAATCATGAATTACAAATTTAAAAATCAATGAAGTAATTTTTTTTATATAGTTCGTTCGTGTGTTCAGTGTTCATTTCATATTTCAAATTGTAATATACACATTGTAATTATACAAATACTTATTTCAACAACATAAAAATATAATATAAAAAAAAATCAGGCAGCCGGTCGGGCATCGGGCAGCCGACCGGGCACGGGCAGACATCCTCTGCCCGAAGCCTGTTCATGGTAATTTTCGGGTCGGGTCGGGCAGCCCAAAAATTCGGGCAGATCGGGTTCAGTCATCGTAAGTTCATCAAATTTGTAATTCGTCCCACAATGATTGCACTCTTTTTTTTCTTCCCAAGTTTTTATCCCAATTGAATTTTTTCTTGGTAAAATTTTTAATGAGGTAATCATGAATTACAAATTTAAAAATCAATGAAGTAATTTTTTTTATATAGTTCGTTCGTGTGTTCAGTGTTCATTTCATATTTCAAATTGTAATATACACATTGTAATTATACAAATACTTATTTCAACAACATAAAAATATAATATAAAAAAAAATCAGGCAGCCGGTCGGGCATCGGGCAGCCGACCGGGCACGGGCAGACATCCTCTGCCCGAAGCCTGTTCATGGTAATTTTCGGGTCGGGTCGGGCAGCCCAAAAATTCGGGCAGATCGGGTTCAGTCATCGGGCAAAAATTCAGACTTTTTGGTGGTCACGGGCGGCCCGTCCAAAGTTTCAACACTGTCGATGCCCGTCCAAGGAGAAATTTTGGGTCGGGCAACCCGAAAATTCAAGAAGTTCAGGCTCGGTCAGAATTTAAACCGAATTTTACTATTAAATTAATTACATGGCATGCACAACGTTAGTGAAATATATCATTATTACCGAATAAACTTAAATCATTTTCAAAAAATTCTATTGCTTTAGTATTTGCAGTAATATTATCTAATATTATAGTCATTACTCTATTCCTTAAACTATATTCATCAATAACAGATAAAATTGTATTATATATATTAAATCGATAGTATGTGATCATTGAACACATTTAAAACATAATATTCTCTTATATAAATCAAAATCTTTAAAATAATGTCCGGTTACAACGAAATAATCTTTGTTGACAACGACAGAGCAAATATCCACCGTTAACGCAACGCAACTACTAATAGAGTGTAAAAAGTTGATTAATACTTCCCTTTCTTGTTTATATAATTTTAATGCATCTTTACTAAGAGTAATTCTTGAAAAAAATTGTGCATTAAGATTATGTACAATTTTAATATAACACTGTCAATTCATTTGTTCGGTAAAACTAAGTGGCTGATCTAATGTGGCTACTAATCGTGTCATTTCCATACGATCGACTTACGGATCGTATTTTCAAGTGCTTCGACCGCCGGTTTGGCAGTCAAATGATAATTGTTTTTGGCGGAAATCAGGTCCGCCTCCTTGCTTTTGAAGACACTTTTCAGAGTGTCTTCTCAAGTGTGTTGTGCCGTGAATAGTATTATATTATAATTTATCACTACAATATTTACATTGAGTTATGTATTTAATGTTACCGTTATTGTCGACCTATTTGAATGCGTTGATGTGCTCCCAAACTGTTAAGGTGCGCTTACATTTCTTCTTGAAACTTGCAACACTTGCCCTAGCACTTGCGTGTACCTCTTCTCCACGCCCACAATCATTACGACCACGAGGTCCACAACCTCTAGTACGTCCACCACAGCTCGGATTTGCAGTTTCCTCAGCAGCTCTTTCTGGTTTTTGCGATTCTTGCATTTGAAAAACATTAGTAGAAAATTACCGTTTTTCAATGTTGAATTGAGTATCAACGGGAATATCACCACCATTAAGAGAGATTAAAAGAGATTTGAGAGAGATTAAGAGAGATTTGAGAGAGATTGAGAGAAATTAAGAGGTTGAGAGTTTTTTGGTGAGAAAAATGGTTGAGAGAATGGGGTATTTATAGGCAATTTTTTGGCTTGAAAAAAAAAATTTCCCTCAAAACTTCGGCTCCAACGGTAAATTAAATTCGGCAGGTCGGGTCGGACTTCGGGTTTCTCGGGCAACGGTAAATACAACTGTTGGAGTGGGGCAAAACACTCAAGTCGGGTTCGGGTTGCCCGAGAAATTATGTTGGTTTCGGGTTCGGGTTCATGTCAACCATAAAATTCAAAAAACTAGCTGTTTTTTTAGGTAATCGGGCAAAATTTGAGCTTCGGGTCGGGCATTCGGGTACGGTGGAAAAATTCAAAAAAAAAAAGTGACGGCCGGCAGTCACGGCCCCCCCACTGGTGGCGGGCTGCGGGGAATGTTTTTTTCTCGGGCTGCCCAAGCCCGAGCCCGGGCTTGAAAATTTTCGGGCTTCGGGCACGCCTGCCGCCCGAAGTTCCACCACTTGATACACTCATCACAAACTTTTTTAAGGGTTCTTATGAAAGTAGTGCTATTGAAAGTGGAAGAAACCCTGTGGAAAGCGCGTTCATAACCCATACATGTTCTCAACTTACGTCAACAAGCCTAATCAGCACCACGCATATTCAAAGAGAAGCTTAAAACTAGAATCAACCACAAACAACACATCACCCTGTACCTAATTAAACTGTATGCCGATAATATAAAACAACACGTACCTCGATGTACACCACACTAGACGTATTTGGTGGTTTCCTCCTCTTTGGTCGAAGATCTCTTAGATTGTATTCCACTTTTTCAACAGAATCATATTGGATCCCTTCTGCTCTCCTGTTGTTCCAGTGCTTCCAATGAAGGGGAGTGCCTCGGAAATTTAAAACTGCAAGTAAGTATTGAGCTATACGCTCCTCTCCAACCACTGAATCTTTCACAGACCCTGCATGTAAAGCGACAAACTTTTACATTATAGAACAAGTTTCAGCACATTGTTTTCACTTGAGACTCGTGAATCCTTACAATAATCACATCATAGATTGTAGAATCAAAAACATGAAACACACCATTAAAAAAAAAAAAGACAAGTGAGGAAAGTGGAATGACCTGCAAGCGCAAGCTTTAAACCTGTCTCTATATCCGGGATACTTGGAACAAGTACACCTGGAGTGTCCAGGACATATACGCTAGGCTGATGAGCAATCTGTAATTTATAAAATATGATTAAAAGCGTCATTCAAACTAAGAAAACAGAAATCTAAATGAGTCATTAGCAGAACAACGAAACAACGAGAACAAGAATGTCCTTCCACAAAAAACAAAAATTAACGAAAAGATTTAAAAATAAAAAGGCCTCTATCAGATTCTCTCATCCCAACGTTACAAAGAAGAAAAATCTTTCAACATCATCCCCTCGGCCTCCCATTAATCATCCCCGAATATGACATCAACTTCAAACATCCCCTGATCCAATTCCCCCACCTAATTCTAAAATGAAGTCCAAAAACTCACTTCACATGACCATATGCCTCCTCGAAATCAATCAATCGTTACCTTTTGCTCAATAATCTTCCACTACCTCATTAGTAATTAGGACCACATCCAGTAATTGTCTGTCTGCTAAAAAGGCCCCTACCGAGGTAATCGTCTTCCTACTGAGTTTTTTCCCCAATTTAAATGTAACGGGCATTCCAACAATCAACATCAACACAAGTCTATCTACACTCCAGTTCTTGACATACAAATAGGCAAGAAGAAAATCAAGAGGAAAAAAAATTACCTTGAACCCAGCAATGTCTTGAGTCACACCAGGCAAAGGACCCACTGTCGCCCGCTTCATCTTCCCCTGCACTAGGAAATACACAAAATACAATCATTTTTAGGTTCACCAAAAATACCATGACATACTAAGCTAGGGAACTTCTGTGGATACCTACCAATAATACGCGTTTTCATAAGGATTTGGGCGCTTTTGCCCCCCTAAACTTTTAATCGTGGCAAAGTATTGCAAAGTGCTCTTAAATCAATGAATAGTGTTAAAATACAAATGAACACCCTTATGTACTTGCCATAATGTGCTCCAGTCGTCATTGTCATAATGTGCTCCAGTCGTCATCCTCAATTTACATCTATGAGAGCATTTCCGCCCAAGTTTTGATAAGTCATTCATAATCATAGGGTAACAATACTAAATTAAAATCAGTGGATAATTACCAAGATTAAATGTAGTAAGTAATTTATCTAATCTAAAAAGTTGATATAGATGTATCAAATGCCCATTTCATATGTCAAATTAAATAGTACGCAAATCAACAAAATCAATTAAAGAAAAATAAACTACATTTACAAAACTCAGTGTAAAAATCTAACAAAATCTTACTCGGGAAACGAGATGTCGCAATTTGATGGATGGAATTAATCAAAGCCGACTTGCCTACGTTAGGAACACCAACAACCATAACAAGCAGAGTAGGCTCCCTAGAAATCACCTCCTTCAACTTGAACTCCACAAGGTTCAAAAGCTTAAAACACAAAATCAACAACACATTATCAGAATATCAACAAGTAAGAAAAGAAACAAGGCGAAAAGACATCGTTACGTATCGTGCCAACCTTCTGAACAGAGCTCTTGCTGTGAGAATTTATTGGAACGCAATCTTGCTTGTACGAATCAAAGTATTGAATCCATTTCTGCAAAAATGAAAGGACCAAAATATCAAAGTAAAAAAAAATAGAATAAAAGAGAGAGAGAGAGAGAGAGAGAGAGAGAGAGAAGTACAGGGATGATGTTAGGGTTGGCAAGGTCCTTCTTATTGAGAGCGATGAGGCGGCGTTTGGCAGAAAGGACAGGCTGAAGGTCCTGGTTGGCAGAAGAGAGAGGGATACGAGCATCGCGGACTTCAACAACGAGGTCGGCAAGCTTCAGGCGGTCTCTGATGGCACGGGTGGCAGCAGCCATGTGGCCAGGGAACCAGTTGATGGCTCCGCCACCGGTGTTAAAAGCCATCTCTCCTAGCCCCTTCTTGACCAGTTGCTTTAACCCTCTTCCCATCTTCTTGCTTTATCTTCTTCTTCCTCTGCTTCTGCTTTATCCTCGTCGTCTTCTTCTTCTTCTTCTTCTTTGGGAGCTGAGAGGAACTTCGGAGGTAAAAGGTTGAAGTCTTTGGGGGGTTTGGAGTTTAGGTGAGTAGCGTGCAAAGACAGAGAGGGTCAAGAGTTCCGACTTAGCCTTTGGTCCAATGTAGAGTTGGATTGAGAAGATTGCAACCTTACCCTTTGAGGCGTATGGTTTTCGATTTTTGCCCTTTTGATTATACCCTACCCCTTTGACTTCTTTCTGATAGCAGTGGAAACAACAAAAAAGAAGTTTACTTGTTAATGACAACAGTTTGCATCAAAGCACAAATTTCTTCCCTTGCTTCCTGTAATAAAAAAAATAGTGCTATTTCATTGGCAATAGTTATTACAAAAGCAAGCTTCAAGTACTCATGCAAGGAGGACAAAGGAAACAAGAGAAAATATATTAGAGAAACAAGCAAATCTATTATATGTAAAATAAATAAATAAATAAAAGATGCAATATTAAAGAGATTGTGTTGTAGTATCAAAATAGAACATTTTAGTAACAAAGAAACTAAACACAAGGAGTTACTTGCTTTATAAAGAAAACAAGGAAAATTAAGCGGTCTAAAGATGTCCAAAAATATATCCCAAAGCCACACGCACATATTTGCTCACCATTACATTTTATTTAATATATCAATTCTTACCTTTACCTGGTCAACACTTGATTTTCACCTCAAATGCCTAAAATGCCCTTAAAAAACTAAGAAATACTAAAACTTGAAAAAAAACAAGCCCCCCTCAGAAACAACTAAATTAGTTTTCGACACTTGCAACATATTACATCAACTTCTATTGCACAAAAACAGCAAGCATAATCATGAGAATCAACATCATAAAAGTCCATATTTAAACTAATAAATATGATCCTAAGTCCAACAAATGTGAGTTACACTCAGTCCGTTTCTTACACACACACACACACAAAAGTCCATATTTACTCCTTGGTTCATTACAATGTCCCAAAAATTGGTCTGTTCTTGCTAAATCTCAGCCCATTCAAGTTCCTTTCACACGAACAGATAGACTAAGAATCTAAGAAACTGTGAGAAATATTGAAAACAAAGAAATTTTGTTTTCTGGGGAATTTAATCAACCACTTAAAGGCCAGAGAAAAAAAACAACACTCCTTAAAACAATCTTAACACACAATCAGCAAAATTTCAACAAATTTCTGAACCCCACAACCAAATCAAATCAACTTTATCAATCAACAGATAAAATGCACATATTTCCACAAACCCAAAAACCAAAAGCCTGACTTCAAGCTAGCCTCTATCGGCTGTTGAGAGAAACAAAGGGCCAAGTGAACTAATACTTTTTTTCTTTTCCTTGGTTTGCACCGCAAATGAGTTTGTTCAAGAAACACAAAATTTTTTAAAAAAAAAAAAAAAAAAAAAAAAAAAAAAAAAAAAAAAAGAGGCTGGATTTTAACAGAGAAACAAAACTTGAACAAAGAAAGTAATTCAAATCTGAGAAGGTACCCGGACTGGGTGAAGAGCGATGGCGGCGGCGTTAGGGCTGGTGCCGAAGAAATCCCCAAATTCGGCGATTTTCTCTTTGGAAGATTGATAATTTGGAATAGAGTATTGGAGGAGAGATTTCCCAACACGCGGTAAAAAGGAGCCCATTTTCATTGTTGAGTAAAAATATTTATTTGTCTTGTTCTTTTTGTTGATTCGAGTTTAAAATTTAAGTTAAAATATAATTATATGTGAGAATTTTTTACTGTAATAAAAAAATTAGATGTGATTGTTTGTGAGAGCTTTTTATTATAGTAAAACTCAAATTCTAAACTTGAATCAGCGAAACGAACGAGGCCTAATATTGAAATAATATTTTATACGCAACGTAATTTCACTTAGAATTTAATTAAAATATGAGTTTATTATTTTTAATTTAATCGATTTAAAATTAATAAAATAATCTCTTAATTAAAATTTCTTAGTGCAAGGAAAAATCTTTTGATTACAATTAAAACAATAAATTTTATTTTTGTGAATTTAAGAAATTTAGGTTGATTTAAAATTACGAATGAACTCGATGAATTTAGCCGAGTTACCTACATATCCTGTTGAGGGATCAAGCCATTTGTAATTTGAATTTAGAATTGGGATTTTAGTTTGGATAATTTGGTTTTAAATTTAAAATTTATATTTGGATAATTCCTCGGTATATAACTTGTGAAGAATTAAAATGTTTTTTTTGAAATTTGATTTAAGATTTGAATTTGGATAATTCCTATGTTGAATTTAGTTTGGAATTTGTTGTAATTTCAAATTTGAATTTGAATAATTCATTGGTATATGACCGTACAAGGAATTAAAAAGATTTTAAAATTTTGACTTGAGATTTAAGTTTAGGTAATTTTAATATGGAATTTAATTTGAATTTAAAAATTGTGACTGCACATAAATTTTGTATCTAGATTATCTACGCATCTAAAATAGAATTAAGTCTTCGTAGTTCTTGATTTTTGAAATTTATAGTTTGAAAATTTGTATCTAAAATAGAATTAAGTCTTCGTAGTTCTTGATTTTTGAAAATCATAGTTTGAAACTTTGTGAAATTTTAATCTATGAGGTGAATAACCTCTTTAAATTTTTGGGATAAATTTTAATTTTAGATTTTTCTGTGATTTTTGGAAACTGGCCGCATCATAACAAATATGTGATACACATATACTTTTTCTCAAATCTATTTGGGTGTGTTCGGCAGCCTCAAAAATTCAAAAAAAAAATGTAACTCGAGTTACAACTTTATTCAAGTTCATGTTTTTTTAAGTTTGAACTCGAGTTTGAGACTAACTCGAGTTCAAGTTTCCCCTTTAGTTCAGAATCTCGAACTCAAATTAATGAACAAGATTTTTTCTATTCTTAAAAATACTATAACTTTTTCATTTTAATCCTGATTGAGATGATTTTTTTTCTATTCGTTGACAACGAAAAGACGAATAAAACCCCACCTATATACCCTATTATAATTTTTCATCACCATTCTCCAACTCAGGCAAAAGAAGTTCTAAACTGGCAGACTCAAAATGTCAAAGCACAGAATCAAGTCCTACAGAAGATCGAGACAAAGGTTGACAAGGTCATAGCCCAAGCTAGCCTTGCTGATAAAAAGCTTGATAGTCTCAGTGTAGAAGTACGAAGAATGAATGAGAGCCTCCAGTCGAGGATCAAACGCTTAGATTCTGACCTAAGAAGCTTGATTAATTAGAGCTACTTCGGACCAGAATTCGACAGGAAAGAAGCCCTAGGTTCTTAAGAAAACCCCTGAGAATTCATCTACTCCAAACCCTGCACCATGCATGATGTTTTCATCATATGATCAAGACTTCCTAGCTCTTGAGAGACATGTGAACCAGACATCCAAGGTGGCCACTAGACCATATGTGCAGCCAACAGAGATACAACCAGACGGAAGAACAAAACCTCCAACTCAGGCAGAAGAAGTTCTAAACTGGCAGACTCAAAATGCCAGACTATAAGCCTTTGAACCTGTTCCTGAAAGATGACAAATTCCCCATCCTAGAACCAGCTCCATGTTCACTCACCTGAAAGAAGCCCAAGTCTTCTCAAAATTCGATCTCAAAGGAGCGTTCTGACAACTGGGAATCAATCTGAAAGATAGGCCCAAAACAGCCTTCTGTATTCCGGCTGCACAATACCAATGGCGAGTCTTACCATTTAGACTCAAGACGGCCCCGTCACTATTTCAGCGAAATAGGAAGGAAGAAGAGTAAAATGAGAAACCCCAAAACACCATGGATACTCCTACCCAGAAATTTACCCAGTCCTTAGAACCAGCTAGATTATCCTCGTCAGTTATTATTCCTAGTTCCTGTAAAAGATCCCTTTCTTCTAAGATAGAAAACCTAGTAGAATACTCTTATATCCCTGAAACAGCCATAGTAGAAGAGTCTGTCCCTCCTATGTTAAGTCCGTACAATGTCTTCAAAAGACAGGCTTTGTCATCTGTAGATCAATCCATGCTCCGAATTCATTCATCTTCTCTCTCCATTGGTCTGGAGGAACATTGTCAAAAGTGAACCAGGGACCAATTGTTGGCTTGGAGAATGTACCTTCTGATTGCTGTTGAGCGTCAGGTGGTTCTTCGACTATGGGAGATGTCTCCCTTGTCTTGTGGTGGCCTTTTATATGTTTGACAGAAAAATCATATTTGGCAAACCAATCTTTAAGTCTGAGTAATTACGGGTCGGGTAAAGTCTTGTTTTTAAAATCAAGGACCTTAGGAAAAGATGAATTATCCATTCGGACCTCAAAATTATAACCTCTAAAGTGGAAATCAAAATTTTGAATTCCATATTTTCTCCACCATGGGAGAGGGTTGAACATCTCTATGAGTTGCCAGAGGGTTAATCCTCCAACTAAGAGAACTTTGTAAAGTGTTTGCTCAGTAATAAAAATATGGGTTTCTAAACAACTTTGCTTCCTCTCTGAAATTCTGAGTTCCCTCTCTTATATCATAATCATTCCCCCCCTGACAAGTATGCTCTGTGCTTGCCTCTAGTAGAGGATCCTGCACACCAGAAAGTTTAAGCCTAAGATCCTTACTACGATCTCCATGACCATGAGTGATGAGCACCTGTAGCACTAAAAGCTAAAAGTACGCAGTGGCGGAAAAAGGGCTATACAGTGCTAGGGTCACTCATTGTTGATGTTTTGGTGGGAGTGGATAAGAAGGAGAGTCAAACATCCTTCTTTCTTTTCGTTCCAAGTCGTCATTGATCTGCTTGAGTTCCACTTTCAGTTTCTGGATCTCAGCTTCTTTCCTGTCGAATTCTGGTCCGACGTAGCTCTGATTAATCAAGCTTCTTAAGTCAGAATCTATGCGTTTGATCCTCGACTGGAGGCTCTCATACATTCTTCGTACTTCTACACTGAGACTATCAAGCATACTATCTAAATACAAATTCAAGTTTGACTCACTCAAACATAAATTCAAAAAGATTCTTATCTCAAACCATAACTCAAATGTACACAACTAAATACAAACTCAAGTTACAACTTTAACTTAAGTTATAACTCAAACTTAACTCAAAATCTTCACTCAAGAATGTCTAACTAAAAAATGTAAAAGAACAACTTTTAAATTTCAAAAAAAGGTTACCGAAAATACTTTTATATATGTGTGTGTGCGCGTCAATAAAGAAGAGAGTCAAAACTTCCATCAAAGCTTTGTTCGGTAACAACAATTGCAGTCATTCCTTAATTTAAGTGCAGAGCCATCATTTATCTTCCAAATTATTTATTTCACTTCTTTAAATAAAAGAAGTAATTGCTTTTGGCTTTCCTTTCATCACCAGTTTTTTTGTTTGTCTTTTGACTATTTTTTTTTATTTTTTTGCAGGAAACGAAGACACTCTTTAGAAAGTGGATGTTTGGTTTATGAATTCAGAATTATGATTTAGAATTATTTTCAATTTACGTGTATTTTTTATGAGAGAAAATATTATAACAAATCACGAACTATAATTCAAATTATTGTACGAATCTACCAACCAAATGCACGCAAGTTATCACCAATTTTTTGTTTCACGTTGTACTTGGTAAGTTAGATTTAGGGTCGTTTAGTTCGTTGATTCAAATTTTTAATTTGAGTTGAGATGTGACTTTATACGAGAGCTTTTTACTGTAGCAAAAAGTTAGATGTGACTGTTTCTCAGAGCTTTTTACTGTAGTAAAACTCGAATTCTAAATTCAAATCGGTGAAATGAATGGGGTCTTAAAATTGTAATAATATTTTAAACTGTACTATCATAGTCAAATTCATCATATATATACATATATATTGTTTAGGCTGCATCATAACGATCAGGGCCTTTTTATATTTTTTTGAAGGTTCTAAATCTTGCAACCTCATGATTTTATAGAATTTTAAAACTTGTAATTCTATTTTGATTTTTTTTTAGGTTTTAAATTTTACAACCCCATAATTGTGTAGAGCTTTAAAACTTGCACACTATTTTTAATTTTTTTAGAGGTTCTAAATTTTGCAACCTCATATTTTTTTGACTGGATTCAAAAATTTACAGCCCGTATGTCTTAAAACATGAATCTGACCAGCAATGGCAGATGAATTTCTCATCTTGTAATAGTACTTTGGTACATAAGAAGGCTTAAGAGAAAACATATAGACAATTTAATGTAATAAGACAAAACATTACAATGACATGAAAGCAAAAAAAAAAAAAAAAAAAAACCATTTTTTTTACCCCGTTTTTTTGTAATAAGACAAAACATTACAATGACATGAAAGCAAAAAAAAAAAAAAAAAAGACCTATTTCTTTACCTCGTTTTTTTTTTAAAAACGTTTTCTCTTCACACATTCACCATCTCACACTTTCTCTCACTACCTGCAATACACTCACTTCTCTGCACAAAGTTTGCTACGTGGGAATTCTAAAAAGGAAGAGGACGTTTAGTTCATGGATTCAGAACTATAATTCAGAATCATTTTCAGTTTATGTGTCTTTTTTATGAGAAAAAATATTATAGCGAGTCACGAATCATGATCCGAACGCACCCGAAAAATCCTCCTTTTGTTTCTTACATAGGCACTCGAAGCAATAAC